CGTTTTCTAGCCTGATCTACTCTCATTTCATCTGATCCGAGTCGTTTTAGGTAAAATAGCTTAAACTCGACTCCGATGACTTAGATTTGATATTTGAAATGATATAAAATATATGAATTGGGTGAGTTAAGCGATTTTGAATAAATCAGAATTTTCGGGCTTAAAGCGATCATTTTAGACTTTTTAAATAAAAGTGATAAATAGTAAAATAAATATTATGAAATTCGTTGTGTTGTCTTTGGGCTTAAGTGCGAGTTTGAGAATTTTTAGGGTTCGTATGATAGGCGAACGAGTCGTTCGAATGCATTGACCGGTTGAAGCGATTTTGAGTTGAATGATTTAAGTGTTGGCTTTTGACTTGATACTTTGACCATGGACTATACGTATGTTGGGGATGCTATGTTTCGAATTTCGTGAATTTTGGATGCCGTTTGATTTTGATTTAAAATCGGGACTTTAGCAGTTAATGCGATGAATATAGAATATTAGTTCGATTGCGCTTTTAGCTGCAGTTGTGGATTATGAATTCATTATAAAGCACATAGAATTTATATTTTAAATATCAACCTTAAATAAGTTTGAATTTTCGAGAATTAGAAACCCTAGTTTTATCCAATTCCGATAACTGTGTATTTTTCGGATTCGAATATAATTGATCGAACTCTAGTACCTTTTAAATAATTTTTAAGACGTCGTAACAATAATTCGTAACACGTATCATCTTCCCGCACACGTGTTCGACCCTTGGCCGATTGTTGGAGCCCAACCGCCGAGTGCGTGCCCATACACTGAGTGCAAGTCAAACCACCAAGTGCGTGCCCGTGCATCGAGTCCATCCGACCTACCGTCTACACGCCGTATCCGTTAGCCGTGGTCCAAGCACGCCCCTGCGTCAGTGACCGTGGCACCATTTCAAGATCGTGCACCGGCTAAGTCGTGTCAGTCGAGTTCGTGTCGGCCCAATTTGCCACGCCGAACTCGGACCACGATCAAATCGAGCTGCACATAGTCAAGAGAATGATTGACTGGTTTCAAGTGAGTTGTCGATCTAGTTCAGTCGGACCGGTCCGGACAGTTCGAGTTAAATTTCAGATAGAAATTTCAGATATATTTTAGATAGAAGTTTCAGATATAGTTAAGATTTCAGATACATTTAAGGTCCAATATATTTTAGATTTCAGTTGGATTAGATTAAGTCCGATTTTAGTTCCAGACATAGAAATATTTCAGAGAAATCTATAATGTCTCAAAGAAAATAATATTATCAAAATCAGCTCCTAAATCCCTAAAATGATCTTTTAAAGCAGACTGAGCGAACTTAGACAATAAGATATTAAAGATTTTAGTTTTTATTCTGAGCCAGTACTTAGAATATTTCGCTCAAAATATTTTGTAGCTTGAGGAGAGTCGAGCCTCCGTCAGCTACCCATTTCAGCATTTTCAGCATTTGCATTCGCCAGTTTCCAGATGGGGACCCTGTACTGTGTATCTCATTGCTTTTAATTGCTTATACTGTCTGAGGTATCTGTGTAAGTAGATTGAAGGACCGAGACGGATGAGTGATCCCGTCTCGGTCAAGATGTCAGATGTCAGTTATGATTTAGATGAGTGGGCGATGCCCAGCCTAAGTCTAGCGTCCAGATGAGTGGACGATGCCCAGCCTGGATTTCTGAGGGAGGGACCCCCATAATGTGCACATGGGTACCGGTTTACCGTTAGTCCCATAGTTTGCCAGTTTATTTATACTTATGTCGATTTCATGATTTGACATTAAATGTGCTGAGCATTCAGTGTCGGTCTCGGCGGAGCACCGTTGATTCCTTTGTGCTCACGCGTCCCCACTATCCTATTTTTCAGGTGATGGAGTCCCGCGTGACGCGTGAGCAGATATGTGGTGTTGGTCCAGCTTCAGGACATTTTTGTGAAAACATGTCTTATAGTATTTGAACATGTTTGAATTATCTATGCTTGTGTGTTTTTCTGAACTTGTACTTACTTCCGCATGTTAGATTTGTGTTTCAGATGTCAGATTTTACACTAGTATTTTCAGATGTGAGATTATGTAAGGATTTCAGAATATGCAGTTTTAATCCGGTATTATTCATGGCCTTAATTCTAGAATGAATGTTACTTGTTCGCATGCATGTTAGATTAAAGAGATAAAGATAAAGATTAAAGTTAAGTAACATCCCGCGTATTAAAGTTAAAGTATTTTCGAAAAAAAATAATAATATGAGTTCCGTTTTTTTAGCGCGAAAAATTTACTCTGATTTTAATAAGTCTAGGCGGGGTTTTACAACTTGTCTCCAAGATCAAATTTTCTTGCCTCTCCCCATATTTGTTCTTGTACTTCCTAATCGATTTTATAGGACTTGTCTCTTCTAAGATGACCTGTTCAAAGTGATGTGTTTGTTTATCACATATTCTACTTGCTTAGTACTTTCACGGTTCTATTTCTTCTAAAAGTAATGTAAATATTCATTTTTACTATACCGTTGGCGTTGCTATTCCCTTAGAACAAAAATATTATTTGTCTTGTATGATATTGTTGGCATAAAATTTCCACGATCTCTAGACATCTATTGATTTCCTTCTTATTTATGATGCGTTATACATTTCATAACAGATTACAATGTTGACTGCGTGATATCCTTAGCTAATCCTCGCAATCCGTAGTTCGTCCCCTTGCAAGTTCTTTCCTTTCAAAAAACAACTCGCGGGAACAGTCAGTTATGTTGATTAATGTTTAAAAATCAGACTAGGCGCTTGCTAGGCACTGCTCCGGCGCTAGGCTGCACACAGGGACTTTAATTTTCATCTAGGAGAGGCGGTCATTGGAAGTTAGTCATGCCTAGGGTGGTTAGGTGGTCCATACGCCATATAGTTTTCTGTATGCCTGTTAATTTACTTTCAAACTATAATTGTTTTAAAGACATGGAGCATACAATAACTATAAAACTAAAAAAATAATAATCATCTTAAAATTAATATAATAGTAGTGAATTAACAAAAAAAAATATATATATATAATAGTAGTGATGTATTAGATTTTGGAAAATCGTTGTATTTAACCGTATTATATGGTATATCTTTATAATGTATCTTATTATGATGAGAAACATAAATAAATATATTAATATTTTTACGACACTGCCTAGCCCTCGTCTAATCCCCACCTAGGCTCTAGGATCCAGCCGCTAACTAGCGAATGCCCAACGCTTCTTACCGTTTGTTACCATTACGATTAAGCTTTAAATGCATGGCCGCCATTTTCACATTTCAGATTATCTTGAGGGACCCCCTATGTAGTAATGCCGATGATAGTGAACTTAACGAGATAATTGGAGCAGCAGTACTTAGTTCTTAATTGACTTGGGAATATAGTTTAAAATTTTAACATACTTCTAATGTTGTAGTCGTTAATGTGTGTTCCCAATCCACGTCAAAATAAAGAACGCTGCTCATGCTGGAATGTATGACATTGCAAATAGACCAATGGTACATATTGTGTAAGTTACTCTCGGCTGGATTTCTCTTTAATCCTTCAACTTCAATTGGTTTTCTATCTCTAACTTAGTAGAAACCCGCATATCTTGATAGAGAGATTACTATCATTCGATTAACATTTTTCTTTTGTAGGTGCTTTGTTTCTTGTATTGGCGTCTCATTAAAACCAAATGGAGTTACATATGTAATATTGGACATCTATCTAGCTTCAGTTAGTAAAGACTATGAAAAATGAAGAGGAAATATTTGTTGAAATCATATTATTGGAGTTTATATACTATGCTGAAAAGCTGTGAGAAATTGTCAAACTGTCGCGAGCCTGTCAGATGGAACTTATTACCAGTGGACTTGGATTCTGCTGTTGATATTGTTATTATCATAAGCTACTCTGTGCAGTTTGATTAAAATTTTGGACTTGGAGTTGATTCTTGTCCATAACCATTGATTCTTGTTCTGCTGTGCATGTATACATTCACTATTTCTTTTATGTTTCAACTCACAAACATGCAATTTTTGAATTCAACACCTTTCTTTTTACGAATCTATAGTGTCATGTTTCTCGACCGTCACTCTTAACCTGCATACTTTCAGATGTTTATGCACTCATCAGCTGTCTTAGCTTGATTCACCACGTTTGTGTTTATTATGAATAGCAATGCACACACCGACCCTGGAGCTCTTTTCCTTAATCACTATTTTTGTAAGTTTTCTCTCAGGCACGTCTAACTTTCTTATGTGGATTTTTTGTTTGCACGATTTCACTAATTTACGTAATGCTTTCATTTTTTCTCTTATGGATGTTATATATTTCTCATGTCTGTGGAGTGTGAATAAAGCACTTGTTAAATGAAGAGACTCTATGCAGTTCAGTATACAGATATGTTCCTGAAAAGACCACCTTTGTGACGGTATTTCCACGTACATACTTGGGAAGTTGGCACAGAAATAAATACTGATATTTTGTAACTTAGCTCGTGCTTTTGTTAACACCATGTATAAATCAAATACGAACACACGAGTACTTAGAAGTTAGAAGCACAAAAATCAGCATTCACAATAAAATTGCTATACATGAGATGCACTTTCTCTCAAAAACACTTATTTCTTTGAATCCCTGTAATAAGTGGAAAGTCATAAAGACTACAGAGGGGCAATGTTCCTTCTTCTGTGCTATCACTCGTTTAACGAGGTTTCTAATAGAAAGACCTAGGCAGAGCTAGCAACCTTAGCCAACAAACTAAACCATATTATTGAAACCAAGACATAAATGCTGAATGCAGACAGAAAGAGACTCTTCACTTTCACAATCTCCAGATTTTTGGTCGAACGTCAAGCATCTCTTTGTTTGAACTTTTCGAGTTCAATATATCACGTCCGCTGTATCTCAGAAAATGTATAATTAAGTTCTCCTTCTGAAGGAGAAAACTCTTACCAACCAAGGTGGGTTTCTACTGTCACAGAGGCATCATCTCACTGTATTTGTTGACCTGAGATTACCCGAGTGAGAGCAGAGGAGTTTCATTTGGTTCCTGAAGAAATCCGTCCACTTCCCTCCAGAAACTCAGATACGAATTCGAATTATCCGCCTCGTGTATTTCCTCAACCTCCTTCTTCATTTGTGTTTCTTGCAAGACAGGTACAACATCTGATCCTCCTGTGCTTTCTGGATCTCTACAAGTCAAAACTCGGGATAACAGCTTGTCCGCCTTTTTGAGTTCTTCTGGCTTACCAGTAAGTCTCTGGACGAGCTCTCTGAAATTCTCCACATCCGTCTTTATGATTTCTGGTGCAATGACGTGAATTATGCGTATTTTTGGCTTTATTTTGGATAATGTGCGCGAGTAGTCGTGTACTGAAAATTTATTTGGACCTGCGATTTTGGTAAACGATTGAGGTTTCATATTTGCTTTTTCGCGAATGCTGATGATGCGTGTGTTATGTCCGGGCAGACAACAAATAGAAGCTGTTCGGTCGTACTTGTGGATTACAACTTTGCCTTTCAGAAGTTGATGATCAGATGGTATACCGACCCACAATATTAGTTTTTTTCTGTTTCGTCTAATTTTAGTTTATTTTCCCATCAATACTTGCAGATTAAACTATGCATAATGTCAACTGTTTTCGTTATCATGCTATTTTATTCAGCCAACCATTATCAAAGTTGACATGCTCACATCTAACTTGAGCTCTCGGGCAGAAATTTATTGGACGTGATCTAAGCATATTATCTATTAGGTCGCTACGGAAACAGCCTCCTTGTATAATTACAAGGGTCAAGTCTGCGTACAACTGACCCCCCAGACACCAACCAGTTGGGAATATATTGGGTATGTTGTTGTCGTTGTTGTGATCTAAACATATTGTGCCCAGGTTATTTTCATATTGTTAGTTTGCTATAGTTTTATATTTTACGATATAATGCGAACATGTCGATATTGCATCACATTTTCAGGTGCTACTCAAGAAAGACGAGTTGACTTGCAATCTATATAGTTGCGAACTTGACTTTCTTGGCATCTCTCTCTCTCTCTCTCTCTTCTGGCGAATTAAAAACATGAAAACTTCCTGCTGGAAAGATATGGTCATTGTTTAATTGGGATAGTAAATTTTAAGGAAATAGTGCATTTTCTGTAATGTGTACGGACATATATCGTGATGCATGACCATTACAATATATGAAGCTGTTGGCAAATTGTCAAAGTTGATAAATGTTGACTTTGTGTAATCAAACTTGTACAATACTAGTGTATTACACCGATGTGT